TTTTCCTGTGGATGGGTCACATGTTCCTATCTCTTTGCCCCTTATAACAGTTTAGATAATATATTGTAGCAGCTCTGGATACTGATTGTCCTTGTTCTGGGGCTTATTGCTGCTGTTTAGTAACTTGGCTAGACTAATTCTGTGAAGTCTGTTTCTCCACAGTATGCAGCCTTTACTTTTCCTGTTTGGATTTTTTCTTGCCTTTATCTCTAAACCTGGCATCCTAAGGGTCATCCCTGGGTCATTACAGTTTAGCAGTCAGTTACTGATTGACCAGAATTGTGTTTAAGTTCCTGAGCCAGTAAGGTTTTCATTTTTTGCTGTGTGATCTGTGTGGCTTGGAGACTGCTTTCACATTACAGGAAGTTTACAAGTTTGTTCCACTGAGGACTAATAGCAAAGCAGTTTCCTCTCCAGTTGCTGCTGAGAGAGTGTGGCCTTAGGTATCAGCACATTATTCTATATCAGGCCTCCTTTGCTGTCTCTTTCTGATCTCCCTGTTAAACTTCAGATCTGCTTCCACTGGTATTACACCATGCTTTTGCTCTCTGGTAACTGTTACCTGATTTTTATTTTGAACAATTCCTTGGAGGCATATATTGCTCCACTATCCAAATAAAGTCAGACCCCTCAGACAGGGCCAGGATGTTGCCAATCTTTGAGGTTTTCTCTTACCTCTTCATGGCAGAACCTCTGTATTATAGACCAGTATCTGGGACTGATGGGAGTTGCCATTTGGTTTCTAAGTGCTAGAACACCTCTTCTGAAACAAATTTGGGAGAGGGAATGGGTGTAGCCTTTACCACAAATGTTATAGCCTCCCTACTACTATTACTGAATCCTATATGTTTTGAATAAATTGTTCTCAATTTGTTGTAAATCCTTTTATTATTCTCCAGAGACTTTGAATGATTGTCTTTGCTAATTGTGACCAATTAGACAGATACTCCTTTGGGAAGATATCACAGTTCGTGGGTTTGGGCCCTGCATCGGGCTCTGCTGACAGCTCAGAGCATGGAACCTGCTTTGGATTCTGTGTCTCCCTCTCTCTCTGCCCCTCCCGTGTTCATGTTCTGTCTCTCTCTCAGAAATAAATAAACATTAAAAAAAATTTTAAATGTAGTCTTGTTCAATATCATGTGATATTAACTGTGTTATTGTATCCAGGGCTGGAATACTCACAAATGACCAGGATATTAAACTCTTGAATAAATGCTTATTCATAGTTTCAGCACTTTTTCCAGAAAGGGTCAGGCAACCTGTGTTCACCCAGAATGTAGAGTATAACAAAATGCATATTAATTCAATATGCTACTACCTTCTGTGACAGTCTTCAATTGCATTCTGTAAGTTATACTTTGATTACATACACTTCAAAGGTAAGAAAAACTTTGTATCTTTTTTCCCCCTTTATGGCTTTCAATGAAATTTCACAGGTTTTCTATCATTTTATATGCCAAATCTTTGAAAGACATACATTAGAGTCTAAATTTTGCCAAAGAGGGAATCAAGATGCAAAGTACTTAAGTGACTTCCAAGGTCATACAATTCATTAATGATAAATGTAAAACTAGAAGCAATGAAAGGATTCCTCAATATCCAGCCTTCACCTCTGTGCACCAAATCTAGTTAGATAAGCTAAGATTCCTCCTAGAAAGATAAAAAAAAAATTGCTCTTCTGTTACATAACTAAAAGTAGACTTTAGGGCACCTGGGTGGCTTAGTTAAGCATCCAACTTCGGCTCAGGTCAGGATCTCACAGTTCCTGGGTTCGAGCCCCACATCAGGCTCTGGGCTTACAGCTCAGAGCCTGGAGCCTGTTCAGATTCTGTGTCTCCCTCTCTCTGCCCCTCCCCTGCTTGTGCTCTCTCTCTCTCAAAAATAAATAAATAAACATTAAAATAAATAAATAAATAAATAAATGTTAACTTTAATTCACATGTACTTATTATGCTTCTGGGGAAGACATCCTTTTCTGGTATTATAAATATAAAGCATTGATGATTCAGATCAAAAATATATTCTGTTAAACATTGTTGGCCATTGTTGCTATAACATTATTTCTCACAATTCTGGAGGCTGAAAGTCCAAGATCAGGGTGCTATAACATGGACAGGTCTGGTCCTCTTTCTAGCTTGTACATGGCTACCTTCTTGCTGTATCTTCACAAGGGGGAGAGAAAAATCGGTATCTCCCTTGTTTCTTTTTTTTTGAGAGAGAGAAAGCACGCGAGTCAGGGAGAGAGGGAGAGAGAGAGAGAGAGAGAGAGAGAGAGAGAGAGAGAGAGAGAGAATATCTTAAGCAGGTTCCACACTTACTGCAGAGCCTGACGTAGGGCTTGATTCCCATGGCTGTAGGAACATTACCTGAGCCCAAATGGAGAGTCAGACGCTCAACCAACAGAGCCACCCAGGTCCCCTTCTTGTCTCTTCTTATAAAAGTACTAATCTCATTGATGAGGACTCCACTCTCATGACCTAATTACCTCCCAAAGGGTCCACCTCCAAATACAATCATGCTAGAGGTAAGGGCTTCAATGTCTGAATTTGGGGGAAAAAACATTCAGTCCATAGCATCCATCTTTATCAAAAATAGAATTCTTATGTGACAAAAATATAGGCTTTCTATAATAAAAAAAATAAGTAAAAAGTTACATCAATTGAAAAGAGATGGTAAAAGTATAATATCAATTTTAGAGAATATTTTTCTTATTTCTAGTAAACCATTGTGTGACATAAAATGTATCTGATTTAGAGAGAATGTCTGCTATGTTAACAGAAATTATGTGAGATACCATAGACTTATCTAAACTTTTCTTTCCAGGTCATCCTCAAGACCAAGAGGAAGAAGTTATGATAAAAAGAAAAATAGGGGCGCCTGGGTGGCGCAGTCGGTTAAGCGTCCGACTTCAGCCAGGTCATGATCTCGCGGTCCGTGAGTTCGAGCCCCGCGTCAGGCTCTGGGCTGATGGCTCAGAGCCTGGAGCCTGTTTCAGATTCTGAGTCTCCCTCTCTCTCTGCCCCTCTCCCGTTCATGCTCTGTCTCTCTCTGTCCCAAAAATAAATAAACGTTGAAAAAAAAAACTTTAAAAAAGAAAAATAAAATGTTAGAAATCTAACAGAAATTTAGTATTGAACATTATTAAGTCAATATTTATAACATCAACAATGTTACATAAATACTAGGTAAAGAAAATTATTGTTATTTTTGTACAATTGGGATAATAAACCAAATTTTCTATTTTTCTCTTCTAGACAACTTTTGCACTAAAGCAAAATATTCTTATTTAAATCTTATTTTTGTCATGAACATTCTTCAAAAAAGAGTTTTTAAATAACTAGATTTGGCTTATTTGCACATCCATTTATATAATCTTAAGTGGGTTAAAAAAATTGATCAAGAGAATAATATGGACTAAAAAGATCCCCAGGGAATCCTTACTGAACAAAAAGACAAACATAAAGGAAAATAGTTTTTTTCCTGGGTCAAAAACTTAGGTTTAGAAATTTCTTCCATGACTGGAAGACTGTTAGGGGTTAAATTTTAGGAAAAATAATCAAATCCCTTTTCACAATTGAAAGTTCCACACGACCTTAAAGACAAAAATATCATGTCCTGAGTAACAATATGGAAAGTTATTTAGAACACAAACTTAAAAACAAAGAGAACTCTCTAAATGAGAAAGGGTATCTATTGGGGATGCTATCACATTTACTTCAAAGTGGCTAAAACTTTTTTACCTGGTTATATATAGGCAATATTCCACACCAATAAATACTCCTTCTTGTTTGACACACTTTTTTCACTTGGCTTCCAGTCTCATGACTTTTCTTTAGCCACCAGTGGGTCTTTCTGTCATTTGCTGGTTCCTCCTTTTCTCTTCTACTTTTTAATGTTGGCATATACCATAGGGCTCAGTCCTATGCTGTCTTTATCTGCTCTTTTCTAGCTGCACTAAATGATCTTATATGATGTCATGTCTATTCACTAATGACACCAAAATTAAGTCTGCCAGTCCCAACTTGTGCCCTGAATTCTAGACTTGGGATATCCAACTGCCTACTCCATCTTCAACCTAACATGGCCAAAACAGAATTTCTGATTGAACACTCCTCCAAATCTGTTCCTCCTCCAGTATGCCACATCTCTGCAACCCAGAATTCACCCAGTTGCTCAGTCAAAAACCTAAGAGTCACCCTTTTCTTCTCTCTTTCCCTCTCATATCCAAGCTAACAGCAGATCCTATCTTCTCTACCTTTAAAGTAGAGCCTAAATCCAATACCTAACCATCTCCCCATCATCTACCATACTAGTCTAAGACTCTTTCCTGGAACTCTAATAACTTAACCGGTCTCTCTGCTTTAACCCTTAATTCTCTTCAGTCTAACTAACCTTCAAACAACAGCTCCCATACAGGTAAGCCAAAGTATATCACTCTGCTCTCAATCCTTCTAATGACTTCTTATTGTATACCACATTATTAGGGCCTTTATGAACTACTCGATGGTTTCTTTCCTATGTCATTCCTTACTATTCTTCTTTAATTACTATGTTGTAACCTGACTGGTCTCTCTGCTAGCTCTCAAAAGTATGCCAACTAAGTTAACATTTTTTAAGCCCTTCACAAATTGCCTTTGACTCTGCCCAGAATGCTCTTCCCCCAAATATTCACATGGCCCATATACTTATTTCATTAGGGCTTCTGCATAAGTCACCTCCTCCAATAGGCCTTAGTCCCTAACCACCTTATCTAAAGTAGCAACCCTCTAAATATTCTCTCCCTATTCCTTGTTTCTTCTTTATAGCACCTCATGTTATATTTCTGCTTACATTTTTATTGTCTGCCTTCTCCAAAAGGACGTAGTAAATTTCACAAAAGCAGTACTTTGTATTGGTCACAGCTATACAACCAGCACACAAAAGAATATCTGCCACATAGTAAACTAGATAAATATGTACTGAACCCCAAAAATGAATGAATGGGATTTGAGTCTGAGCACTACCCAATAATATAGTTTTATTTTGCTTTAGAGGAAAAACAAAAGCCACAAGAATGTGCCCTTAAAACCAAAAGTAAACTCAGCTTAATTTCTCTCAAATGACATGAATTTTATTAAAAGGAGAAGAGTTACTCAGTAGCAGTGAATTTTAATTTTCAGCAAAATATTCTAGCTATGATAAAATTTTTTAAAAGCTTCAGAATGATCCCCCAAAATAAAGTCTCGGTTTATTTAAATGAGCCTGAACATGTAAAAATGGGACATGTAACATATACATATATACACATACACAAAATAGTACAGTTTTATGAAATCAAAGTGGAATAAATGGGAACATTTTAGATTATCCCACAATCCTCTCCCCTTCCTTCTCTCATCAAATTGCTACCAGTGAAGGCCCAGGAAGCTACCAATTAGCTAGAGCTGGCTTTAAGCATTAGAAATGTATCCTGTTAACTTGATGCTGACATTGTTGTTCACAATAAGGAAAATGGCAATATCCCCAGAGGTTTCAGAAGCGGCAGGGCTTTTTGCACGAGTATGTCTGTGGCTTAACTGCCATTATGTTATCTGCTCTCTTCCACTGATGCAACTTAGAGTCCACAAGAATGTGAAAAATTCCACCACCTAATAGATGAATCTCTTTATGTATAATCTGGTGGAAGGCTGAGCCTGATGATGAAGTCAGTTTTCACTAGTGGGCTAAAGAATCTAGATCTTGAAAAATAAATTTAGCCACACTGAGGCTCTCCTGAGCCATGCACAGAAGGCCAGTCCAAGTGCTCCGAGGATGGCAGTCTGTTGGTGAACAGATTATGGCAACTCAAGTTGAGCCACTTGGCCTCTCTAGCAACAAGGAAAAGAATTTAGTCCGGTATGGTCAGTTTGTTTCAGTCAAAACTCATTTAATGTTGATGATGTGGTTTATGCTCTCTGGTCAGGGGGGTAGAAGAACGATGAATACTACTCCTTATGAAAAGTTTCAAGCCTTGTAACCCCTCTGAAAATAAATAGTCCAAATACCAGTTCCATTTCTTTCCCTGCAGGCACAAAAAGGGGAAAATTACTTATCAAATATTTACTAGGCTTATTCTCTACCTCCTGATCTTTGCCTAGGAAAAGTTCCCAATGTCCTGAATGCACATACCAAGAGTTAGCTCAGAGGAGCCAGGTTTATAACTGGAACTCAGGCACTAAGTAATATTCAAACCAGAAAGTACCCATAATTTAAGGGCTAAACATTCCTTTTATTATACTGGCAAAAAAAATTTTAGCTGTTCAACTGAACAAGTACTATGAAATGGAAATGGGTCATCATTCGCACATTCTAGAAATTTAACATTTAAAATAGCTAACATGGGAGCAGACATTATGTTACTGCCTACATTAAATATGTACACAACAGAGTTTCTGTAACAATGAGACAACTATGTTAGGTTATGTTGAATCAGCCTCATTACAGTCACACTTTGAATACATGCAACTGTATTATAAAATGAGAAAATGCACAGATACAACAGCAAGAGTCAAACTATGAATAGCTGTATCTTAGAGAAGACTGTATAGGGTATGTGACAATAAATGCACATCAAAGTCACTGGAATGAATTCAGAAGGCAAACACTTCACTTTGACTTTGTGGAGGCAGCAGGATTAAGGTTGGGAGAAAAGTGAAGGTATACATTTTTTGATGAAATGAAACTGTAGTAAATCCCTGAACATGATGAATATAAATTTATTTACCCGAACAGAGCTCATGTTTACTCTCCTTTCTTCTGGCCATTCCTTAAAAAACAAAAGCAAAAAAGAAGTGGGGAGATATGAGGATGGAAATATTTGGTTAGTAAAAATTACTAGAAAAGTAAGATAGCTCTTCATTGTCTGATTCATTTGCTACATTTTATTCCTGCTATCGCTTTTGGATTCCTTTTGAATAAACACTCACAATAGCCTTCGATATTGCTCCCTAGAGCACACACAGAAGGAAAATAAGATCACAGTGAAGAAAGTATACATCATTTTGCTAATTTATGGCCTCAAATATGTACTCAGTCACTGGGGTGAAGATGAAAGATGTTAGAGAAGGCTTCTTCTGAGGTATAGGACACCCGAACAGAGTCCTGAAGGATGAGAAGGAAGTCTGGTGAGGCAGTCTCTGTACACAGTAGATTCTGTACACAGAAACTGTGATTCTTTATGAAAACTCAGATCTAGGTGATCTCATTTATTTCCTATCTTTAACTATCACCCACTATACTTCAATGAAAAGTCATTAATTCTAAAACAAACATTTTTATATATTACTAAGAAAAAACTATGCCTATTAAACTATATATAACACAACGTCTTCTAACACTTAAAATTTAAAAAAAATGTATTTTATAATGATTGAGTTTTAGATGTAGGCAGATTTTGATCATATATCCTTTTTATAAACATGAAATGATAAATATAAACAAAATTAAGTAGGAAAAGTATTCAGAGTCCTACTCTTCTGAATTACTTTTCTACTCAAGAGCTGTAGATAACTATGTTTTTTTTCCCACACAATATCATCTTCTGTGCCAGAGTGTTGGCAATGGAACATTTCTTATAAGAACTAAAAGATACTGGTACTGGGATCCCAATTACATAAACCTAACCTGCTTTTGGCACCTGCTTCTAAGAAAGTCCATAACATGTATGGTTTACTTCTTCCCTCCCCTCTTCCTCCAGGACATTTGGTTTTTGGGGCTTAAAAGAGTGTTCCAATATTTCCTGAAAGTTTTTTCCCCAAGCTTCTGACAACCATCCCACAAGGTCTGATTTTGGCAACCCCCCGGGGCACACTCAAAAACAGCAAATGATGGGGCACCTGGGTGGCTCAGTAGGTTGAGTATCTGACTTCGGCTCAGGTCATAAACTCGCGGTTTGTGGGTTCGAGTCCCATGTCAGACTCTGTGCTGACAGCTCAGAGCCTGGAGCTTACTTCCAACTCTGTCTCCCTCTCTCTCTCTCTGCTCCTCCACCCTCGCACTGTCTCTCTCTCTCTCAAAAATAAACAAACATTTAAAAAATATAAAAAAAAAACAGCAAATGACAACTATATCTTGATTGCTGCCTGGCTGACACTGATCACAAGACTCATCCTGATCTCTAAGAAGTTCAAAAGTGAAAAAAATGTGTTTTTACCGATTAAATATACTCTAAATTCCATGCTGATGAATTCCATATTTATATCTCTAGTTCCAACTTCTCTCTTGTGCTGCAAGTCCAGCTACAAACTGCCTACTTACACTTCTCTTAGATATCTAACAGGTATCTCAAACCTAAGTAGGTCAAAACAGAACTTGAGTCTCAACTTGCCCTCCCCCAAAACCAAAATAACTTCTATTCTTTCATCAGTATTCCTGTTATTAATAAGTGGAACCAACATCAACCCAGTTGCTCAAGTAAAAAAACTCAAAAGTCCTTTTCTTTTCCTCATTCCCACTTCCAATAAAATCATCAAGTCCTGCCTGTTCTACCTCTGCAATATATCTCAAACCAGTCCACTTCTATCCATCTCCACTACCACCACATATATACAAATCTCTATTGCTATCTCCTGTATAGACTCCACCAACAGCCTCCTAATTGGTGCCCCTGCAGCCACTTGGGCCTCCTCTTATAACTCTGTCCTCCACCAAAAAGCCAAAGTGATGTCTATTAAACATAAACTCAGACCATACTACAACCCTGCTTTAAAATTTTTTAATTGTTTCCCATGACACTCCTAACAGACTCATAAGAGAGATAGCCCCTGAATCTCTGCCACCTTATTTCATCCCATTTTCCCTCTTTTCCTTAAGCTCTAAGCCAAACTGGCCTTCCTTTTTCCCTTGAACCTCTTGAGCCATTGTGCCATTCCCACTGCCTAGAATGCTCTTCTTCCAGCTATTCTTAGGCTGGCTTATTCTCATCTTTTAGAAGAAATCTCAGACCAAATACCACCTTCTCAAAAAGCCTTCCTTAAACACCCATTCCTCACAACTCCCCAGTCACTTTCTCTCACCCCACCCTGTTTATGTTCTTCATAGCATTTCTCAAAATTTATAATTATCATGTTTATTTACTCATTACTTGTTTATTGTTTGTTCTCATTAGAATATAAACTCCATGGGGCGCCTGGGTGGCGCAGTCGGTTAAGCGTCCGACTTCAGCCAGGTCACGATCTCGCGGTCCCTGAGTTCGAGCCCCGCGTCAGGCTCTGGGCCGATGGCTCGGAGCCTGGAGCCTGTTTCCGATTCTGTGTCTCCCTCTCTCTCTCTGCCCCTCCCCCGTTCATGCTCTGTCTCTCTCTGTTCCAAAAATAAATAAACGTTGAAAAAAAAAAATTTAAAAATAGAATATAAACTCCATTTGGGCAGAGATATTGGTATTTGTCTCCATAGGCACTATACTCCCAGTGTGAGAAGCACAGTAAACACAAAATAAATATTTGTTGAATGAATAAAGAAACAATGATTGATTCAAAGGTAATTATGATAATAAAATGTAGAGCCTCAGAACTGCCTGAAATGAAGGCTCTACAAATGTTGAAAATATTTTGACTCATTAAGTGAACAGAACTCTTTCACACTGAGAACTGATTGGTCAAATTATATTTACTAAATTATCTCTAAAAAGCTGACTAATTTGAAACATTAACAATGTTAAAATTCAGTAAAATCAAAATGTCAGAATCAAATCATACTACCATGGTATCAGAGGTTATTTTTACCATCTCAAAGGTAAGATACTTAGATAATGAACAGTTAGTTGGTGACAAGGGCTCAAAAAGGCGCTCTTTTTAAAACAAAAATTGACATTAAAGCCTAGTACTTTCAGAACCATATAGAAACATCATCAGTTTAAAAACTGGCAGTTTCAGGGGCGCCTGGGTGGCTCAGTCGGTTGAGCGTCCGACTTCACCTCAGGTCATGATCTCGCAGTCTGTGAGTTCCAGCCCCGCGTCAGGCTCTGTGCTGACAGCTCAGAGCCTGGAGCCTGCTTCAGTTTCTGTGTCTCCCTCTCTCTCTGCCCCTCCCCCACTCATGCTCTGTCTCTCTTTGTCTCAGAAATAAATAAACATTAAAAATTTTTTTTTTAAAAACTGGCAGTTTCACATTTTGCCAAATGTGCTGTATGCCACTAGAATTTAAATCTTCTAGTCAGAACCAACCTTCCTTAATAAACATTTTAAAAACTGTTTTCTGCTTTAAAAGAATGTATCAATTCCTGATCTTTCAAAATGAGTTTGCTCACCTATGTTCTAGTTGATAATATTTACTACTTTAGAGACTGAATTTTATAACACACACGGTCTAGAAGAAAAAATTATTTGACTTATGAAAATCATTTCTACTTTATCTATGGTTTATTACATGCTTTGCCAAATAAGAACTGGGTACAACATTATTGACTGGGTATGGAGAAACCAACAACCATTCATGGTTAGCAGTAATGTAAATCTGTATGAATTCTACTGAAAGGAATTTAACAACACCCAACAAAATTAAAAAGACATAACCTTTGAGAACAATTCCACTTGAGAGCAATTTTATCCAGACACACTTGTATATGTATGAAATGATGTATATGGTTTAAGAATATTCATTAGAGGGACACCTGGGTGGCTTAGTCAGTTAAGCATCTGACTCTTGGTTTCAGCTCAGGTCATGATCTCACAGTTCGTGGGTTCAAGCCCTGCATCAGGCCCTGTGCTGACAGTGTGGAGCCTGCTTGGGATTCTCTCTCTCTCCCTCTCTCTCTGCCCCTCCCACAGTCAATCTCTCTCTCTCTCAAAAATAAATTTTAAAAATTAAAAAAAGAATATTCATTAGAGTATAATTTCAAAACAGAACTAGAAACAACTTAAATGCTCAACTTACAACTTACATGCTTAACTTTAATATAGATTCATATGATGGAATACTATGGAGACAACAAAAAGAATGAGGCAGCCCTTTGCATACAAAATGAAACAAAGCCAAGATATTGAGTCAAAAATTCAAGAGGCAGTAGATATCATATATAATGTTGTAAAAAGATCATTTACACAGAAATATACAATATATCTCTAGAAGGATATTCAAGAAATTGAATGTGGGTGCTTTACGATAAAAAGTGTCCATATGGAGTTTCACTCCCAGGAGAAGATCATGAGTTCTATGGACACACTCCCCAGAAAATGAGAAAATTTGGCAAAGACCATTTTTAAATACCCAGCACTTACAGTATCTGGAAATTGTCCTAAGGGTATATTAATGTACAAATATAACAATATTTATTCAAGAAAATCTACTAAAATTCTGTAAGAACAGCAAGTGTCTGGGGCATGTGACCTGATCTTTCCTATGTGAGTGTGGCTAAAAGGTCAGGGCTGTAAATACCTATATTAAGAATGAAGGAGGGGCACCTGGGTGGCTCAGTCAATTAAGTGTCTGACTTCAGCTTAGGCCATGATCTCTCGCAGTTTGTGGGATCCAGCCCCACACGGGGCTCTGCACTGGCTGTGTGGAACCTGCTTGGGATTCTCTCCCTCTCTCTCTCTTCTCCTCCTCCACTTGCACTTTCTCTCTCTCAAAATAAATAAACTTAAAAAAAAGAATGAAGGAAGATTTCAATTCAATAATCTAAACTACTGCCTTAAAAAACTAGAAACAGGAAGGCAAACTAAACTCAAAGCAAAAAGAAATTACAGGTGACCCTTGAATAGAGGGGGTTAGGAGTGCCAACCCTGGCACAGTCAAAAACTCTGTGTATAACTTTGACTCCCCAAAAAC